CCCCCGGCCCTGCGGCAGCTGGAGCCGGCGGCTGCGGAGGGACGGTGCTCGCGGATCCCTCCCTCCTAACTCCCCGGGCGGGGATGCGGAAGGCACTGGGACTGGGAGGGGACGGTCCCTCGCGCCCCACCCCGTGCCCGCCCTCACTCCTGCCGCGGTCGCGGAACTGGTGCCGTCCGCGGGCCAGCCCAGCCCGGAGACCGCGCAGCAAGCGGAACCCGAGGTGGAATCCCAGCTGCCTCCCGCCACGGGTGGGACCCGGAACGCGTCACCGCACCTGAGCCTGGCCTCTAGAATTAAAGAACCTCGAGCCGCCTCGTTTATTCAGCACCTGCTGTATGCCAGGCCTTGCTGTAGGCACCAAGAGAGAACAGGTGAATAAGATACAAAGACCCCTGCCCTCATAGCTACCTACGTGCGACAAGATAGTCGTGAGGTTGACACAGGTAAAGAGATTAGAAAATTGGACTCAATAAATGATAGGTGTCATCGGTATTTTTACATGTGCTACAACAGAGAATCAACCCATGTACCCAAAGGGGCTACCTCACTCCGCAAAATGACTCAAGGGTCTTTTTTTCTCTCTCTCGTCCCGATGTATTTGTTGAGCTTGGTCTAGAAAGGCAGGAGACCAGCAACGCTAGTCCTGCTCATAATACCTGCCCTCCCTGTCTTGCTGGCTTTCTTTGGTTAGAATCTAATCAGGTCATCTCTGAGGGGATATAAACCGCACAAATGACAGGAATTATTTCCACGAGTCAGGCCCTGTCTTCGTGGAGCTCATAGGTAAAAGCTTACAAAGGTAGCCACTGACATAAAAAGCATCCAAGTAAGTCCCACAAGAATGGTAGACCAGTATTACAGGAATTTAAAGAAGGGAGTGGCACTCAGTAAATATTTATTGAGCACCTACTATGTGCCAGGCACTGTATTGAACTCTGGGGATACAGCAATGAACAGAAGAGTCCATGTTGTGGCACAGCTTGAATGTTGGCAGGGAGACAATCAGCTACCAAGTAAAAATAGTATCTGGTGGTCTTTAGACGTGTGGTGGTGTTTTGAAGGGTAGTCAGGGAAGGCCTAACTTAGACATTCGATCAGACAACTGAAGGGAAGGAAGGAGCAAGCCATGTAGATAGCAGGGACATAAGGAACAGCAAGGACAAAGACCCCAAAGGGGACAGTACCTGGCGTGTTCAAGGAACAGCGAGGCCAATGTGGCTGGCCTAGATGCTGACCTAACCTTTAGAAGGACCATGAGGCTGCTGTGTTCTGAATGGACTGTAGGGGGACTAGGGCCTTAGAAAGCTATTTCTATGTTCAGGGCATTTTTATTTATTTAAAAAGCACTGATATAGTGCTTCCTCTGTGATGGACACTGTTAAGCACTTTACAAACAACAACTCATTTAATCCTCATAACAGAAGCCCAAAAAGGTAAGCAACTTACCCAGCAGAGAGATGCATTGGAGGTGGCAAGAAATGATCATGGTCTAGGTATTTGCTGACGCACTGGTGGTAGGAATGAGAAGAAAGGAGTCGAGGATGATGCTAAGTTTTTCTGTTTGTTTTTTATATTTAAAGACTTTTTTTTTTAAAGCAGTTTTAGGTTCACAGCAAAATTGAAAGTACAGAGAAAATTCATATATATCCCCCTGCCCCCACACACGCATAGCCTTCCCCATTATCAACATCCCCCAGCAGAGTGGTACATTTGTTACAATTGATGAACCTACATTGATGTGTCATGATTACTCAGACTCCATAGTTTACATTAAGATTCACTCTTTGTGTTGTACATTCCCAGGTTTTGGACAATGTGTAATGACATGTATCTACCATTGCAGTATCATACAGAGTATTTTCACTGCCCTAAAAATCCTCTGTGCCCCACCTACTCATCACTTCCTCCCCCTAGCCCCTGGCAACACTGATATTTTTACTGTCTCCATAGTTTGGCCTCATGCTAAGATTTTTAGCTTGAGTAACACTGGAAGGGTTTGCCATGTATTGATCTGAGGAAGATTTTAAGAGGAGCAAGAGGTTTTGGGGAGCAGGGGGTATAGATAAAAGACAGTTTGGGGCAAGTTATGTTTGAGATGCCTGTTAGAGATTTCAATGGAGATGTCAGGTAAGTCATCAGATATAGAAGTCTAGAGTTGGAGGAAGAAGTTGGAGCTGGTGATAAACTTATGAGAACCATCAGTTAGTAAATGGCATTTAAAAATATTTAAATGGTGCTGGGATAACTGGATATCCATATGCAGGAGAATGAAACTAGATCCATACCTCTCACCATATACTAAAATCACCTCAAAATGGATCAAGGATTTAAATATACACCCTGAAACAATAAAACTTATTAAAGATAACATAGGAGAAACAATTCAGCAAATAGGACTGGACACAGACTTCATGAATACAACCCCAAATGCATGGGCAACCAAAGAAAAAATAAACAAATGGGATTATATCAAACTAAAAAGCTTCTGCACAGCAAAAGAAACAATTAA